GACCCAAAAGCCCTTTCCTGTGGGCTGGGAGCAGCGGGAGGGATGGTGGCTGAGAAACCCCTTCCTCTGGACCAGGAGCACTGAAATGGTGGCTCAGAAGCCCCTCCCTCTGGGCCAGGAGTGGTGGGAGGGATGGTGGCCTAGAAGCCCCTTCCTCTGGGCCAGGAGCAGTGGCACAGAAGGTGGCCCAAAAGCCCTTTCCTATGGGCTGGGAGCAGTGGGAGGGATGGTGACCAGGAAGCCCCTTCCTCTGGACCAGGAGCAGTGGGACGACGGCTCAGAAGCCCCTACCTCTGGGCCGGGAACAGCAGGACTCAGTACCTTGGTCTGGTGGTCTGGTGTCCTCTGCGTCTTTGTAGTGTGGAACCAGCTGGCTGTTTTAGTTTTCTTGTGTGTTGGGAAATACTTTGGTTTCTTGTGTCCACTGTAGGCTCATCAGGATTAGGCAGCCCTCTTGGCAGAAGCCGGCACAGCAGCAGTCAATCAGATCTCACCAGCTCCAGCAGCAGTTCATCTGGCCTGAGCTTCACTGTGTGCATGTCTGACTTCTCCCTTTATATATTTCATCCATATGGAGCAGGGAAACAAAAAAACTGCTGTTTCTGGCCTCACACCTGGATTAGGAGAATTAGGTATACTTTGCATGTTTGTGTACTTATCAAATTTTAGCATTTTTTCAAGATTTTCAAGTATCTTTTCAAGTTTTCTTTTCATAAATCAGAATGCATTTAGGAATGGAGATTAGCCAAGAACAGAAGCTTTCCATTTTTTTCCCATTTGATTGTATCTTGACCCTACAAAATAAGTATAAATATGAAATAAGGAATTCAGATAAATTAATTATATGAGAATTTAAAATTTAGAATATTTTCTAAGTGATATACACAGCACAGTAATTTCTTTGGATATCAAAGGTTACTTATTATGCTTCAATGTATTACTAAATCTCTATTTGTATAACAAATTATATTCCATAAAAAGCAAATTTTTAAATTATGTGGTTATATTTATTATTTTAAGATTTATTTAACTCAGATATGTAGTGAAATTAAATTTCAGTGATATTTTTGAAGTACAGATGAACCACTAAAATACATAAGATCTTGTTAGTGAATGTTTTTTCACCAATATTTAGACAAATAATGCATAATCCATGTAAATTCTAGGGTTTTTCGTTGGAGAAGGTTTATAAGATCACCAATTATGTTTATAGGTTTCAGTCTATTAAACTTAAGGATACTAATGCTTATTAGATCACTCTGCTTAAATTTTTACCTCACTTAAGAGATCTTGATTGATGGGATACTGTAGTATATTGGGTAATTTTCATCTAACTAGACAGTTGTGTATATGTGTACCTCTATATGTATACATTATTGATGAGGGTTTTATTGTTGTTTTAGGGAATGTGGATGAGGAACCCACTTGAATGACTGGTTGAAAACACTCTCTCAGTATAAACCTTGAATTTGTAAAAAGTGAATTTGTCTCAGATAAGGCGTTCAGGAGGTGCTTCATTTTTTGAAAGTCAGTCTGTAAGCAAGTCTGCAAGCAAAATGCACACTACATTGATAAATATATCTGGTATTCAGTTTTATATTTTTTAAAATTAAAATTCTGTTTTCTAGAATTAAATAATGGCCTCTGCCTTAACAGTCTTTAAATATGAAGTGTGCTTAATATTATTTGGTGTTAAGTTGATTTAAAGGAGAGAAATGACAGTCTAGCCTACTGTGTTATTCCAAGGAATCAATGTTAGAAATATGGTTCTACATAAATATATCATCCAAGGACCAAAATAGGCCTAATTCAGTAACTAAAAATTTATTATTTTCTTTACTTCTTCTCTAGTTTGAATTGGTAATTTTTTGTTTGTTTGTTTGATTTTCTAATTATAAATGCTTAAAACACTAAAAAGGAAAGAGTGACATTTTAAAAATGTTTATTTGGCATCAGAAGTCTTAACTGGGTGCATGGGCACGGCTAGCTTACCAACTAGCTATATAACTATGGACAAATTAACTTATTTTCTTTACATTGTGACTTGAGTATTTAAAATTAAAAGCATATGGGATACTTTGAGCAATTCAGAGTACTGAGAAAAAACTTTTATTAATCTAATAAATATGGCATTTTTCACTTATCCTGCAAACATATTGTTCAGCAAACATATTATTATTATTATTATTCAGCAAACATATTAAACCTATATTTTATGGTGAACTTTTCTCAAGCACTCTGCTAGGTGACTGGGAGTGCAGGCATGAATAAGAGCAGATCTTTACATTTAGACAAATAAATGACAGTTCAAGGTGATAAATGCTATATAAATCTATATAAAGGGAAGAAAATAATAAAGTCTGTCTTTAATGGGGATCAGGGAAGACTTCCCCCAAGGAAATAGTATTTGGGCCAGATCTTGAAAACTGAGGAATATTCTTGATGGTAGCAGCATGTTACTGTATTCAGTGCCACAGAAGCATCAAATGCTTGTGCTTTTGCAGAGTACTCTGGTTTGCTACAGCTGAAGCATAGGGTATAACTGAACATTTAATTGGTTGTACAAAGTAGATGGGTCCAAAAGGAAAGAGGACTGGCTAGAGATAAAACTGATAAATAAATCAGGACTAGATTACAGGAGTGACTCTTACACCAAGCTTTTGATCAGGTTCTGATCTTTCAGGCAATGAAAAGCCAGTAGAGGTTTTTAGAACATGGAATTGAAACAGCTATCAGCTATCTCCATTCAAACCATGTAAACATGAGCTCATTGTCTCACAAAGTCAAAGGATGAAATCACAGACAAAAAAAAGAGGAAGGTAGGAGAGTGTTTATTAGAAACACAGGAAGAGAAATAGCTCCCAGTTGGGACCAATCCTGAGTGGGTTGCCATATGTCCCCTTGATCTAGAGCTTTTTAAAGGGAGTATGGTCATTGCTTATTTTTTAGTGGCCACCTATCACAGATAGCTCTTTGGATTTAAAATGACCAATTGGACCTCAGGCTCTCTTAACCCAGTTACTCACCATACAGGGTTTAAAGAAAACAATGATTTTAAAGAAAAACTGCTTATTTTGCAATTTAAGTTCCTGGAAACTCAGCAACTTGGTAGGAAAGAGACCCAATTCCATTTAGTAGAGAGCGGCTACATTCCATGTTGTATGTAGGAGTTCATTCTTGGTCCAAAGTCCTATTTCACTGCCTAATCTTATTTTAATTGTTATCAGTGTGGTTGATCACCCAACTTTATCTTTCCCTAGCTAGCTGCCTGTTCATAAGCTTAACTCTCTGCCCTGTCTTTCATAAAATGATGCTTCAGATTAGTATTTTAGAAAGAGAATCAATAGTAACCTGAAAGACAGAAGGGAAAAGATGCTTGAGGAGACCCTAAATAAACCAAGAAATATTGAATACAGGCCTGAACCATGACAGTAAAAAAAGGAAAAAATGAAATAGTTTCAACAGAGAAATGAGAATCCACAAGTTTAAAGATGAGTTTAAGGAGCAGTAGAAGAGACAGCTCCCTGAAACTTTTAGCTTAGATGAAAGAAGGGGAATTGATGCCATTAACTTAGTTAAAAATAAAATTGATGAAAGAATTCCTACAGGAATTTAGGTGGAAGGTTCTGAGGGGCAACTAGCTAATGTGCTGTGTGGGTATGTCTCAGACTGAAATAAGAACTTTACTGTGGGAGTCATTTGAATGTAAATCCTATAGGAGCTAAGGTAGAGAAACAGAAGAGCACATAAAGCAGGAATAAAATAATTCTGGGAGAACTCTGCTCCCAGAGCATAACTCTGGGAGAAGCCTATCAGAAAGCTTCCTGTCTAAAAGTCACTGGTCTTGTCTACAAGGAAAATAATAGTCCCTGCCACACAATCGTTAGCTTACAACTTCCTTTGAGGAAATTTTTATCCAGCTCATCTTGATCATTCATTTCCCCTATTTGAGAGGAGCCCTGTATTAAAGTGCAAAGCTGGTTATGAGACTGATGTCTTTGAAAATTTCATGACAGTACTAATCAAATCCCAACTTGCCATCACCTCAAAAAAGGAAATGGAGCTAATTGCTTTATAATGTGCTATTTCTATAATGTGTAGAAGGACATATAACCACTTGTTAATTATAATATGTAACTTATTTAATATTTCATGAATTGTAACAGTAAGTGTAATTCAGCTGCATAATATGTTTAATGTAAAATATACCATGTAAAAATATTAAAAGTTTTGAACATTTGTTCAGAATTCTAACAAATTTTATTTCTGTATCAGCTGTTTGTGATATTGGGTCTGCCTCCTTTAAATATGATATGTGCTGACTCAGTGAAATTCTGGCATTTTCAAGAGCCTGGTATAGGAGAAGTATTGCAAGACGTCTGTTCCTCAGAGACCAAACTATAAATTTGCCAAGTAAGCATGTCATGTGATTATAATTAGGTTCATAGTACTAACTTTGTCTTCCTTGGTAAATTGTGCCATGTGATTCATTCACGCAATGCTAGCAAGCTCCTCTAATATGCCCAGCAGTAGCAATATATCACAGAGCCACACACATAACCATCTTGCCCTTGTGCAGATGACATTCTACCTGACATCATATTGTGATTACTATGTTGTCTTTGTAAAATGTAAAAATGAAGAAATACATTTAACCATCCAAAATAATCATGGTTAAAGAATAGGAAGCAGAAAATTCTGGGGACATACTACCATTTTGCCTTCATTTATCCCTTGGTCTTAGATATTGTCGCAGTTTTATGCTCAAGAGAAAATTGTGGAAGAGTAGAGTTAGCGTGATATGGTGGAAAATATTAGAAATCCTAAGACTGCATCTATTCCCTTACCTGTAAACTGGGATCAGGATACCTGTTTTACTCTTCTCATGGAGCATATATGAGAATCCAATAAGATACTGGAATGTTCTTTATGAAGTATAAATTATCATATAGCTGCCAAGCAAAGAATTAAAAGGAATATATAATGTGATTAAAAATGATGTGTGGATGAAATTATGCCATAATGATTTTACTCTGTTACTTTTTTGGTTTTGTTGTCTACTTTTGTACTAGCATCTGGTCCAGGGACACCTGATTCCATTGAAGGAGTAAGCCAGCACCTTTCCCATGAATCATCTAGAAAAGCTTATTGCAGGACCTAGGAACAGCCAAGTCAGTCAGCCTCTTTCACCCACATGCCTCAGTCACCTAATGTGTTCAATGAGCACATGGCAAACAGCACCATGTCACCAGGGACAGCAGCACAGAGCCTGAAATCTCCAGCTTCCATAAGATCAAGAAGTGTGTCTGATTCTTCAGTTCCTCAAAGAGGTAGTACTGTTAGTTTTGTTATCAGTACCCCTTTGTTGTTCTCAAGATAAAAATTATAGTTCCTCCCAGATTTCTGCCCCAATTATAGGGAGATGTACTCTTTAAAGTTTTTATGATAAATTGAGGAGAACAACCACAGAAACAACAACATAGACCAAACACTTAAAAGTACTGCCAGCAAAAGAGATTGCCAGATTTCTAGTAGCTTTGCAATGGCATAGGAAGGAAGGGATTACCTGATTCTAATTTTGTTAGTGTATTCCTTATGGTATAGTATTTTTAGAAATGTATAGTGTCACAAAATTCCCAAAATGTGCCTCGATATTGTGTTCACTCAGTCATTCTATAATCAGTCAGTATTCTTTGAACTCTTATTTGGTTGGCCTTGTCCTTGTACTGTGGCACCTCAGTTTACCAGCTTAATTCTTTTCTACCATTCTAGTCACCAACAGAATTGGTTGCAAACTGACAAATTTCCCCGTAAGGTCAACATTGAACCTAACCATTGACTTTGATTTGGTTCTTGTTCCATTTGGTTTGTAACCAGAATCATGGAAAGGATAAAGTTCACGAACTGTACTTGTTTCTGAATATAAAAACAAATGGTATGGTTCTTGTTACAGATAGGAGAAGTATAATGAGCAAATGCAGGATTTATTTTACATGCTGAATCAATTAGAACACAGAAGACAAGCACCCCACCAGTCTTTGCACTTCAGAATGGACCCTGCCTTTCAGTCTTCCCCTGACAGTGTATCTTAATGATTTTCTCCATCTTAGGGCAGTGACTGATCTGTGCTGCGATAGCCTATGCACACCAAAATTTCCTCATATTAAATGGGGCCATTCAGAATTTTGTGAGCTTTTAAGAAGAAAAGTTATCAGTACTTACTAAGCATTCAGTAAATGGTAACTCTTATTTTAGAAGCAGTATGACAGCTATTAAACATTAGGTTCTGATATATGAATATCATTGAAAAGATGAGTAGTTTTGCTTTGTAATAGGCTTGGAATTTATGTGAATGGATGTGTTTTGTTATTATTCTGTCTTTAGATTCACTTTCCAAAACATCAACTCCTGTTAACAAATCAAACAAAGCAGCAAGCCAGCAAGGGACACCATGGGAAACTCTTGTCGTGTTTGCTATCAACTTGAAGCAATTAAAAGTTCAAATGAATATGAGTAATGTAATGGGCAATACAACGTAAGCTATCAGAGAAAATATAAGCTAAACAATTATTTGTAGTTTTTGTCTTATATTGTGGTTAAGTAGTCCAAAGCCTTGTTTAAAACTGAAATGTTTGAGACAATAGACAGTAGGTAAAAGAAAAATTTTTATTCTAAAAATGGCTTAAGGATAACTAATATAAAATAGTATGAAACATTCTAAAAAAAGAGGAAAAATTATACAAAAAATTATGTAACTTTCTAACTAGGGAGAAAGCTTTATCATCAGTATTAATAGTCAAGTATTTACCACATATGAGTAGTTCATATAAAAAAAGTATTGTTTCATTGTCAAACCTGACCTTTTATTTAAGTAATCTGATTATTTAACTCTTTTCTTAATTGATGATATTAGAATCCATACATCTATACATCTAATAACCTTTTTTTTAAAAGTTGGACAACTAGTGGTCTGAAAAGCCAAGGCCGTCTATCAGTTGGAAGTAATCCTGATGGAGAGATTAGCATGTCTGTTGGTCTGGGAAGATCACAGTTAGAATCTAGAGGAGTGGTTGGAGGGAACATAGATGTCAATGCTTTGGAGATGGTTGGTATGTTGAAATTTTACAGCTGGTCTAGCATATCTTCAAAATTTATGTTGAAAAATGTTTCAAAAATTCATTTTCATGAGGGGTTTTTTCTGCTTTAGCTCATATTTCTGAACATCCAAATCAGCAACCCAGCCACAAAATTCAGACTACCATGGGTTCTACTGAAGCTCATGTTGATTACATGGGCTCAAGTATCCTCATGGGCATCTTCAGTAATGCGAATCTTAAGCTTCAAGATGAGTGGAAAGTAAACCTGTATAGTACACTGGATTCAAGCATGACTGATAAAAGGTATTTATTACGATATTACTTTCTGAACACTATATGTCTTAGCTTTTAACATACTTTTTATCATTCAGTGAGAAAAATACAAGTAGTTCATTTTTCCTGCAAAATACTTTAATGTTATGCAACTAATACACATGAAAAGGCTGGGTGGGAAAGAGCATTTTTGTTGTACTCTTTAAGTATCTGTGAGATATATGATTAAGATTCTCTTTTACGCTCCAGTGAAATTTTTGTCCATGGAGATTTGAAGTGGGATATTTTCCAAGTCATGATATCAAGATCAACTACACCAGAGCTACTAAAAATAGGAATGAAGCTCCAGGAATTTTTCACACAGCAGTTTGATACCAGCAAACGAGCTCTGTCTACCTGGGGACCAGATCCTTATCTTCCACCAAAGACAATGACTAACAACCTAGAAAAAAGTTCACAAGAACAGTGTAAGAATTAGAATTAAGCTTTATATATGCTTTATCTTTCACTAAATGTGTTTTAGTCTTAATTTTTAAAAATAGTAATCTATATACGTACTTAAAAAGTATCTGGTGGGCTGTTTATCTCATTCACACAGCAAAAAACTGATTTCCTGTACCAGTGGAGTTAGGGTCCATTTGGAAAGTTATTTGCTCATCTCCTCCTCGTGCAACAAGTCATCTGCAGTTCTTGACTATCTCCACTCCATGCTCTTGACCATGATTTATGACACTATAATATTCTGGTTTGCATCATGAACTATGGAATCAGAATAACTTAGCCTTGATTTGTTAACTATGCAATATTAGGCAAATTATTATTTTCATTATTTCAGTAATTGGCAAATGTTCATTAAGCAATATGTACTGAGGTATGTTCTAGACAGGAGATCTAGTGGTGGACATAGTCCCTATCCTGAAGAGGTTTATATTTTACTGAGAGAGAGAGACAATAACTAATATACTAGCTAGATATATGAGAGTATTTCAGGTAGAAGTGCTGAGAAAAGAACAAAACAAGGGAAGGATAGAGAGAATATTAAGGTGTAAGGACAGGTATTTTAGAAAAGGTAACCAGAAAAGCCTTTTCCGAAGCGACATTTTAGTGGAAATCTGAATAAAAGAACAAAACTAAGACCTAGGTGTGTTGTGGGCATAAGGGAGCCATGGAATGGCAGTAGGAACAAACTTGGTTTATTTGAGAATCATTAAGGTCCCCACTGTGGCTGGAGCAGAATAAACAGTAAGTAAAACTTTAAACATGAATTCAGAAAAGTAGGCCCCAGATCAGATTGTAAATATTACAAGAAGCTGTTGAAGAGTTTTGAACAGATTTGGTATTTGATTACCTTAAAATACTCCTTTTTAAAGCATCACTTTGGCTACTGTATATAGAATAGACAATCTAGTGATGGCAAAGCTTTTAGAGCTTTCAGTGATACCAACAGCCCACTGTGGCACGTGTGTCACTATTGATATAGGCAGTTAAGAATGGAGGTAAGGAAACTATTGCAATAGTTACCATTGCTAGAGTAACACACTTAGTTACCAATGTAAGGAGATCTTTGCAAAATGAGTCCAGGCAAAAGATGATAGTGATTTTAACTCAGCTGACAATGGTAAAAGCAATGAGTAGTAAATCAAAATGAGGATAATGTTTTAATAACTTTTTGTCACAGAAGTAATAAATAGGCATTGAGAAAAAGAAACTATAAAATATAAGCAAGAGAGCAAAGCATTACATTCTACCTAAAATCACTGTGACACCAAGACTCTTAGAGCATACACTTTAAGATATTTTTCTATGCATCTGTATACCTATGTGTACTTTCTGTCAATGTATCATTTATACTGTTTAGTCTATGGAGACATTTTCTAGTCAGAAATCTCCAACTTTCCATTTGGCTGATTATGTGTCACCTCTAACTTTCAAAGTACATTCCAATTTCCATGACTGACCTAAAAATATCCTTTACAACTGGTTTACCCAAATCAGTACTTATCTAGTCCAAGATCACAGTTTAACTATGGTTATCTTCCATTACCCTCTTTTAATTTGCCATAGTTCCTTTTTTGATGAACTGACCTATTGAAGAGACATGATCAATTATCCAGCAGAATGCCCTACTGTCTTGATTTTATTCAACTGCTTTTTCTGTGTTGCATTTATTGTATTCCTCTAGTCCTTAAATTTCCCGTAAACAAGTATTGGTGTTAGGCATATACAAATTAGGCATCTGCAAAATGTGTGGCCTGGTTTCTTTAAAAAGGAAAAAACAATCATCAGGTGAAGAGCATTATTTTAGATTACAGAAAACATTCTAATTAAACATAATTCATGGTCCTTGGTTGGATCTGGAATAAGAGATGTGGAAAATAGCCAAAAAGAGCATTACTGAAACATGTGGGAAATATGAGTATGAATTTTGTGTTTGATTGATATATCTCAAACTTTAATGTGCATCTGAAACACCTGGAAATCTTTCTAAAGTCCACGTATGATATAGCAGGTGTGAGGTGGAATTAAAATTCTGCATCTAACAGGCCCCCAGGTCATGCTGATGCTACAGGTCTCTGTCTTCACTCTGAGTAGCAAGAGCACAGAAGAGTAAAATGCAATACTTAAAGTAACCCCTCTGTTATTATGCTTCTTCCCTTGAGAAGCATCAAGATGAAATATCTAATGTGAGAATGATGTAAGATTTCACACAAGCACTTTGTAAATCAAAATCACTGCAAAAAATGTTAGTTATAATTATTAGCAAGGTATTTCTTTCTTTCACTCTTTCTAGCTCA